CCCGCCTGGAAAAGGCCGCCCGTGAGCGAAACGGCCATACAGGCGCTCAGCGCTTGTATGGCCCTTTCGCTCACGGGCGGCCTTTCCCAGGCGGCGGATGGACCAGGCGCGAGCCTGGGCTGCGGGAAAGGCCGCCCGTGAGAAGAGCGGCCTCGAGCGAAAGGGCCACCCACAGTCGGACACAGGCGCTCAGCTGTTCGAGGAGGAGACACCGATCAAGCTGTGGGTATAGGGGTTTCGGGGGACGAGGGGGAGGGGGAAGAGAGTTGCGGGGATTGCTTTGTCGAGTTGCTGGGTTCAGTTTTGGGTTGCTCTTACCGATGCCTTGGAGGAGGTGGTTCTGGCGGAGAACGCGGGCGTGATGATGGATTGCCAAGAAGAGATCTGTACCGATTTGGCCGAGGCGATCATGCCCGTGAGCGTTAGCGACCCAACATGGTCTCCCGAGGAAGCAGAGCACAAGGCGAAGGATGCGCTGGAGGAAGCCGAGATGGCTGCTGCTGAAGCCGAGAGCTACCAGATGGAGTTGGCCATGCTCCTCAAAGATCTCTGTGTCTGAGAGACTGACACGTCCGTCCTAGAGACTGCAAGCTGCTTCAGAGGCCTATAGGACTATAGGCACAACCTTAGCCACAAAGCCTCCACCTGGCAATGTATACTGTAACTACGCACTGCAACCCTTTGATATCGAAGCAAGAAGCAACAGCTGCAAGGGTTCGAACCTGCCAGATTGAAACGTCTTGTTTGTGTGCACGATCAGCAGGTTCGTTTCTGTAGGCTTGTGATTCACTAAGACGGACGCCAGCATGTTCGAATGTGACATTGGACTGTCGCCTGAGTTGGCATGTCAGCTTTACTGCTTACTGTAGGACTTAGGGTGTAGGACTGTGTAGGATTCCAAGGTTTAGGTTGGAAGCTACAACTCTGCGACATGCCGAGAAAGATCCCAAGCTGGCCTGTCCAGGACATGCTAGTTCCCAGAGGTCCAAGTCGGTCTGATGTAGACACCTGCATAGTTGTATGTAGTATGAGACAGTATGAGTATTCCCTCTTACTGGCTCTTCTATGTAAATGTAAACTGTACTGTACCCCCAAGCCATACAGTATTCTCATCATTCAGGCCCGGCCATTGGAGTTCTGCAGTTCAGCCCCGATATGGAGACTCAAGAAGTCTTGGACCCTTGGGAGTGAGGAACCCACCAAGGACGTGCATGAGCTTGTGAAGCCAAGAAGCATGCCCTGTTTGGGCATTGGTCTGCTTGCTAGGGTCATTTTCCGAGCCTTACTCAAACACCTCTACGGGGGGTATGGAACCCGACGATGCTTCACTTGCTCTTGCGAAGAGAGCGTTGCCGGGGCCGAAGTATGAGTACACTGAGTATACGAATTGCCTCTTACAAATGGGGCAAGCTTGAACTTGAACCCGCAGAGCTCTGGTTCTGGCAGCAATGCCACTTTGTCCCCGGCAGAACCAGTGTGGCACGAACGCATGTTCGCATATTGCTGCGCGTCCGAGGTGGATATGTGCGCTGGATCCGAAACTGCTGCTTCAAGACCAAAGTGTCTGAGGGGTCACNNGTGACCCCTCAGACACTTTGGTCTTGGAGCAGCGTGACATTGACACGTCCGTCCTAGGGACTGCTTGCTGTTTTGCGGGCCTAGGGTTGAGTCCAGCAGAAGGTTCAGCCACAAGCCCCCGACAAGGCATACACAATACGAGAACGTACTGCAAACAGTTGATATCGAAGTAAGACGCAACAGCTGCAAGGGTTCGAACCTGCCAGATTGAAACGTCTTGTTTGTGTGCACGATCAGCAGGTTCGTTTCTGTAGGCTTATGATTCACTAAGACGGACGCCAGCATGTTCGAATGTGACATTGGACTGTCGCCTGAGTTGGCATGTCAGCTTTACTGCTTACTGCAGGACTTAGGGTGTAGGACTGTGTAGGATTCCAAGGTTTAGGTTGGAAGCTACAACTCTGCGACATGCCGAGAAAGATCCCAAGCTGGCCTGTCCAGGACATGCTAGTTCCCAGAGGTGAAAGGCGTTCTAATGTAGACGCCTGCATAGTTTGTATGTAGGAGTAGTATTTGTGCGCCAACGCCATATTCTCGTCATTAAGGCCCCGGGATCAGATTTGTCAGCCATTGCAGTTCTGCAGGTTCTAACCCATATGTATGGGGACATGTCTACATGGTCAGGCAGGATTGGACCCTTGGGAGGAATCACCAAGGCCGTGCACGAGCTTGTGAAAGTAAGAAACTTGCCGTTTTTGAATATAAGTCTGCTAGGGTCTGTTTCTTGCACGTTCAGTCCGAACCGTACTCAAACTTTTCTAAAGCGTTAAGGAATCCGAAGATGCTTCACTTGCTCTTGCGGAGAGGGAACTGCCGGGGCCGAAGTCTGAGTATACCGTATACCCATTACAAATGGGGAAAGCTGGAACGTGAACCCGTAGAGCTCTGGTTCTCGCAGTCCCTTCAATGCCACTTTGTCCCCGGCAATCCGGCAGAGCCAGCATGGCATGGCGACAACGCACGTCGCATATCGCTGAGGGTGCGAAGTGGAAAGGCACGTCAAACAGGCCGGCAGTTTCCGAGTCAAGTTGTTAAATTAGCTCACTCCACATCGCACGTAGATCAGCGATCAAAGTGCTGTCGGAAGTGACAACGTTTCGCACAAAACGCGATCGTACCTTGCTGAGATGGGTTCAGGAGAAGTGGAGTGATGTGAAGCTCCTTTGTAGTGATCGGTCGTGCAGGTGTGCCTAGCTTAGTCGTGCAGGTGTGCCTAGCTTATGTGCTTGAAGCACTAAAGGTTGAATGTGGTGCAGTCTTGGAGACCGCTCTCGTTTATGGCTACTAATCTCAAACTGTGATATCTCTGGAAGGGCCCCTGCAAAAGTAGTCGCGATTCTGATCAGTGTTCTGGGTCCGCCTAGAGTTCCACCTGCACCATAAACGTCCAAGCAGTGCAGACTTCATGGCATTCTTGCATGCTTCGGATTCTTTCGTTGCCTTCCTGCGGTGTCGCTGCCTCAGGTTTTAACTCGACTCTTCGATGAGATGGATGTCCAATGGTGGGTCAGCTCGGGCCCCGTTCACCAAGTCGCCTCATTTTCAATTGGCCAGAAGTCCCCTTGCCGCGCGCGATGAATCAGAAACGAAGTTGGAGAAGTCTGCGCGGCGAAGATTTTCAGAATCAACAAACACCACAGAAAAGGTTTCCGGATTCCGGCCACAGAGGCCATGGCACACTGATTGGAGCGCTGCGGGACGGCGGTCTCAGCCGGCATGCAGATGATTTGGAGGTCCCTGGGATGCTGGGCTGGAGGAGGGGGCTGATTCCCCGATTCGCGAGGTAGATGTGCCGGAGATTGATGTGGAGAAGATTCAGGCCCGATAATGCCGGGTTGTGCAAGAAAGTGCAGGGTCTTTTCCATAATTAGCTTTTGTTGCGGACTGGCCTGAATGCCTTCAAGTCTGAACATGTGTGAAGCTGCATTAGGGGCTTGGGATTGAGGCTGCACGGTGTAAGGTTTAGGATCGCCGCTGTTTCAGGATCTTCTTGCACCTTCTGCTAAAGGTCCATTAGATTGTGTGTGCTGCGACTGGTCTTTTTCTACATTGCCTGAGATGTGCAGTATTCTGCAACAGAGTGCTGTGGCTATGACTTCTGTTCTAGCTCCGAAGCCAACTTGTGCCATTTGTGGGAATGCGGCTAAGCGAAACGAGTCCACGTGCCCCTCAAGCCAAGGAAAATGGACAAGCCGTCCGTGCAACTGCAAAGTGTCAAAATCAATCTTTCATTCGGGACACAGGTGTCATAGAATTGGTGACCCTGCATTCACTTACCCTTGCAAGCCTTTATCAGATGACATTTCAACTTTGCTGCCCATGCGTGAGATAGGCATAGATCAATATGCGGATGCAGCCATTTGGTAGCATAGTGTTACCAATATCACATGTCTTTAACAGGATGCTTACATTGCATACAAGTCAGTAAAATTTATCGTGCATGCACATACCACACATAACACATATCATATACTCTGTGTAGGCCTCGGTACTGGTGTCGGCATAGTCATAGTTGCAGGTATGGGCACAGAGAGATGGATGCACGTTTGCGGAGAGCTCACACAACGACAAATTATGCAAACAACACATAAACATGCACAAAGTCCTTCCAAGAGTCCAGGGCACTCTAATGAGAGCAGCGCTCGGCCGAAACGGCCTTGAGCTTAGCCTGGGCCCCAAGCCGCAGGGATGTTTGGGGTTTAGATTTTAGGGCTTAAGGGTTTCAGGATTAGGGGTCTAGGGCCCAGATTTCGGGCTGTAAAGAATTATACTTCTCCCAGAAGAGTATGCATGCTTGGGGCCACTGCACTCGACTGGGCAACCAAATTCTTCTCACGATTGACAGTTTCCGCTAGACGGAATCATGTTTTGAATCTGTGTCCCCATTGTTCATCTACGTACCAGACTGGAGCTGAGGCGTTTTGGATGCAGGCTTCACTTAACAATTGCTTAAATGCATTGATCAGCTGACTTAATTATGTATGCATGCATGCATGCATGCATGCATGCATGCATGCGTGCATGTATGCATGTCTGCTGTCTGTCTGTCTGTCTGTCTGTCTGTCTGTCTGTCTGTCTGTCTGTCTGTCTGTTTGAGTAGCTGTCTGTCTGTCTGTTTGAGTAGCTGTCTGTCTGTCTGTTTGAGTAGCTGTCTGTCTGTCTGTCTGCTTGTCTGCCTGTCTGCCTGTATGTATGTATGTATGTATGTATGTATGTATGTATGTATGTCCGCGTGTATGCATGTTATGTGTGCGTATGCATATTGGCTACTTGCATGTGTATATGCGTGGGTGTGTGTATATATGTATATGTGGTTGTGTTCACATGTGAATATGTATGTACCTTCTACCTGTACAGTATGTACAGTTGTATGTATATGTACACATGCTTACATGCGTGTGCAAAGTGTTTACCGTTGAGCTTTATTTGTAGTGCATGCTTGGTTGTGTCAGAGGATTCAGAAACTGACACGGTGCGGTACTTTTTGGTCCCCGCTACACAGGAACTTAGTACCCCATGTGTCAGTGCAGGTGTATTAGGCTACCACATCGGTCACACGAATTAGCTACATGCAATTGCGGAGTTGGCGTTTTCAAAGGTAATCGGAGTTCGGTTTCGGCATCATATCTCACCCAATGAAGTACACGCCAATATGCCTACTCGAATGTCTCTGCGGCAACACATTGTATGCAGCATATGCAAGTGCCATTTTGGCAGAGGGTAACACACTGCAGGATGCTGCAACGTGGCAGTGTAGCTTGATATCGTAAGTCTACGACCCGATAGCCCAATAATTCTGTTTCTCAACACTTTGCAACAGTGTCAACATGCAGAAGCACTCCAAGCTCTGAGTCAGCTGCAGGCTACGATCCGCGAGGCAGATGCTTCAAAGTCTGGCCTACCGGCTCTGAGAAGGTGCTTCCTGCACGAACCCCCAAGTCAACTCCTGAAACCATAATATGCGCAATCCGACGCAATCCCCAAATCCTTTGGCCGCGAATTCCAGGTCTCGACGATGGCTTTGTAAGTCTTGCGCCATCTTTAGGGCCGAAGGTCTCAACCCAGGCCTCGCCCAAGGAAATCAACACGTCCCGCTTGCAGGCATCGGAGCATGACGAGGTCCAGCTGATGGATCAGACCTGGTGGCTTCCACAACAACGCGCAGATACCTCTGCTGATTGGGCTTCCCGCTGGCTTGTCGGAACCTGTCACTGTCACGAGAGAGTTGAACCTGTGAGGTTGGCACGCCTGCACTCGACATCTACGTGGTGCAGACACCGAGCGTCCGGCGCACAGCACTGTATGCTCTCTACATATTGAGCACTGTGCAAGTGACATGCTGTCAGGACAGCGGTGGTGAGCGATACTACATCTCCAACGACCAGTTCCATTGCAACGTGCGTGTTTGCAGTGCCTCAGCTGAAAGCGATTTTCATTCTGCAGGTGCCCACCTCTGCTGTAAGATGCGTTGATTTCCCAGCGCCTCGCTGCAGAGCGGTACTGGCTCAACGCCGAGCTGACTGGCTTCTATGAAGTACCTTTTGGCCAAAGCAATGGGCTTAGCGATGCTTGCAGCCTGCCTCGGTCTGGCCTTGCAGCGTAATTGTGCTGTTCGCCGTGGTACAGGTCGCGCAAAGGTACCGTCAGAAGCTCAAGAGTTAAGAGAAGCGAGTTTGCCCATGGCTACCACGCTCTAAGCAGTTTTCAAACCGGCCCCGGAGCATCGTCAGGATTGGATCCGCGGACTACCTCAGTCGTGCCGACTCCCCAGTTTCAGCTTCTGGGTCGTGAACGAACTTCAGACGAACGTCCACAGCTGAGTCTTATGGCGACGACTGGAACATTACCGTGCGGTCGATGCCTTGGGTTCCTGCAACCTTTGTCTCTCTGCACTTCGATCACCCATTCCCCAAACATTGAACAGCAAGGCAGGAATCTGCAGAATCCAAAGAGTAAGCCGCAAGCTGTGCAGAACATTGCAAAACCTACAAGCCAACGGCCCTGAGAAGTAGCATCATCACCCTAAGTCCCGCTCTTCTTTTTCTTCTTTTGCTTTTGAAGGCCCCACCGCTGGGAAGCCAGACATGGCAACAGCTTTGAGCCCACGGATGTTACTCGCCTGAGGCCGGAATATGGAGATGATAAACGAAGGTAACTAGGTTGTGGACTGGGGCCATGTAGTGTCGGTCAAAGGTTTGCGTGGTGAGGACCTCTAGACGGGAAGCTTGTTATTGGAAATAATTACGGAGGCCGAATTGAAGGCTCGTCTGATTCTCATCCGTGATCAAGACTTCTTGTCGCAGTCCACAATGCTCGGTTTCTCATGGGGCCTTGGACGTCCTTTTTGGAGCGTTGAGTTGCAGGGCTACGTTTCTCAGCAGTTTGTTGGCCAAGGGCCGGGTTGCATTCTAGTGCGACATCAGGAGCTCCACAATAGCAGTGCAGTGCCCCTTTGTAGGTCTTCTGAGGCCATAACTAGATATGATTAGGACATTACATGGGTTTACAGGGTTCAGACGTGGCACTGCACCGGAGCCAGGCGACGAGCAGCCGAACCCTTCGGCCCGCTGCCAGAGCCGGTGTGGCCTCTGTAAAAAGCTTTTACGCGTCCCTCTGCCGGGTGATAAAAACGGAGGCTTTGAGTGGTAGCCGACTCCAAGCTGTCGAGTGGTAGATCCTGGCGAGGTGGGGGCTTGACGGTGGTCGTCCGTAAGAAGCAAGAGCTTCTGTATCCGTCTGTTGCAGACAGCATCGTAATTCATCGGAAGTTACTTGTATGCGACTGACACTATGCACGAGAAGAAGACATGGCCATTGCCATTGCAGCATTCCAGGTCGCAAGGTTGGTCTGAAGACCAGGATCAGGGAAGAAAACCCAAGAAAGCAAAGCCGGCTGCCGCTCTGGCAGCACCAGGAAGTGCGAGCATGATCGCAGCCTAGTGGGCTGCGGAAGGAGCGGGGCATTGCTTTCATTGCCATATGCGGCTCCGACCATCGGCGACGGGGGGCGGCAAAGGTGCCTGGTGAGCACTGCCTTTGAACTTTGCGGCGACCATCGGTGCTTGAAAGCATTGCTTGGAGATAAGATCATTTGGCTCAAACCGTACGAGGTCGAGCGAAGTGTTTACCTGCGCAACGACTGAGCATTTGTTGGAGTTATTCGTTTAAGTCCATTGTTTCGGAGTGGCCTGCAGAGAACACCATGAAGACTGAGTCCCTTGTGTCAGAATTTGTGTGTCAAGGACGTCTCCAGAATTTGATAAGGATCCGACTGAACCGGGTGTTCCAGGCCGCTGCTAGATGGCCTGTGCCCTCCGGGAGAACTAGATTCGTCCTGGTGCACATTCACTGCAGCATTGCGTTGCATTGCATGCTTACTTAGATTCCTGTGAGTGCTGGCATGTATGCATGCTACATGGATGTGTCCATGTATGCATGTACGTGCATAGAGTAGGGCCAAAGCAGCCCGTTGAACCGCCTGAGTCCTGTCATCGAGGTATTTGCCATGCTGCACCGCCTTGCCCGGTTGGAGGCTTCGGAAACCCTCTCCACTGGTCCTGATGAAGCTTCAAGTTTATGATCGGAAATATTCTTGGGACAACTAACAAGCAACGACAGCAGGAGTTCCCGGAACAGATGCGTATTTTATGCGATAGTTACGAAGTTGCAACCAAAGTGCCTCCTAGTACAGAGTAGCAGACAGATGCCCAGTGCATGCTGTGTAGCATCTAAGCACCAAAGATCTATGTAAGTGCCAGACTTTGTCGCCAGAACGACGACCATCTGCTGACAGAGCCAGCGGAGGAGATGAGACGGAATCTCGGAGAGTACCGCAGACAGATGACTTCGTGAGTCCGAGGCAGTGCTTTGCAAGCCGATGGCCAAGGATGGCCACAGCGTCCTTTCAGCGTAGTTTCGAAGTCCACAAGATCCTCGAGTCTCCAACTGGCCATTATTGCAAGCTGTGGGGGCTTTTCAGTCTTGCGGGCCACGCGCCCAAAACAGGCAAAAGCCGAAGTTCGGATCGTTTCGCAGTCGTCGGATTCACTCCTCGGTTGTGCCCTTTCAAACCTGCACCACTGGCAACAAGCGCAGTTCACCGTTTCTTTTGCAGTCGCTCTTCTCCAGCCATAGCCAAGATTCCGACGCAGAAGCGTGCTCAGGCGACGAGAACGAGACTCTGAGCCCACCCAGGAACGAAGCAGCGGGGGACCAAAGGCGCCTCCTTGCTCCTCTGCTTCTCTCGAAAAGTTTTGAACAGGAATTCAGTCTTTATTTCATCTTCAACCATAGTATCGCCCAAAGCCATGTTCACATTCTAAGGAGAAGGCCCCTACATACGCAATTGTGGACAAGAGAAGAGAGAAGAATACTGCCATGTTCGGTCGCGCATCCGTGACTGACGCCAATACGCCGCTTTTTCTTGAAGAGTTCCGTTGCCACTGTGGTAACTGAGAGCCAGTGGGATAGTCGAGTAGAGGCAACCTGGTGATTTGCACACATGCACTGGGATCCAAATCAAAGTTGCCTTCTTCGTGTCGAACCTGGACCTAGCAGAACCATGTCGAAGATGTGTGACAGAAGTACGGATGATGATGATGACAACTATGAAGATGGCCAGTATGACCGCGAGGAGTGATGATGTTCAAAATCTATCAGTGCATACGTATTGCCATGACTGCCGATGTTACTAGCTGCTCCTGGTCCTCAAAGCTTGCCACGTCTGTAGCGGAAGCAGAGGTTCACAGCGTAGCTTTCGCGCGAAGCCAGAACTTCAACAGTTTTACGGTTTTACCTGATGAGGTCCTAACAGCCCTACACCCTCCTCCGTTCGCGTGCCTGTTTTCAGGATGCCCCCTGCCAAAGCGCCGGAGTTCTATGGGTTGTACCATGCCGGCTCCTGAGGACAACTCCGGACGGAGTTGTAGCATGCGGCAGGGACCCCCAAGCCCTACCGCACCTGCAGCACCTTGGCAGCCGCAGGGGCTTGAGCGAAGTACCAAGCCTGCTTGTGTCAGTCCATGGAAAGGCACCTCACGGCAGTTTCCGAGTCAAGTTGGTTGCTAGCTCACTCCACATCGCACGTAGATCAGCGATCAAAGCGCTGTCGGAAGTGACAATGTTTCGCACACAACGCGATTGTAGCTTGCTGCTGTTGGTTCGGAAGAAGTGGAGTGATGTAAAGCCAGAAAGCTCCTTTGTAGTGTCTTCGTTGCGAGCGATCGTTGTCGGATTGATTTGACAGTGAGTGCGTTGGCTTCACGTGCCATAGTTGCTCAAGCGACTGAGATTTCCTCATCGGAAGCCTTAGGAAGGCTGCGTTCAGCATCCGGAGCCAACCCAGCAGCATGGTGCATGGCCGCCGAGGAGCAGCCCAGGCTCGCGCCTGGTCTATCCGGCACTTGCTGAAGCCACGCCGCCCGGGAAAGGCCACCCGTGAGCAAAACGGCCATCGCAAGCCACAGTGGGAGGATACCGGCGCTCAGCTGTTTGAGGAGGAGACACCGGTCAAGCTGTGGGTACAGGGGTTTCGGGGGACGAGGGGGAGGGGGAAGAGAGTTGCGGGGATTGCTTTGTCGGGTTACAGGGTCAAATTTTGGGCTGTTACGATGCCTTGGAGGAGTTGGTTCTGGCGGAGAAAGAGGGTGTCATGGAGTTCGAAGAAGAGATCGCTTACGATCTGTGTGTGGGCGACCCTGTGACAGTGGAGAAGTTGGTCGCGGAAGCGGAGCGCAAGGTGAAGCTTGCGCTCGAGGAAGCGGAGATGGCCGCTGCAGAAGCGGAGAGCTGCGAGATGGAGCTGGAAATGCTCCTGAAAGAGTTGGGTCTGAGAGGCTGACAGTGTCCGTCCTAGAGACTGCAAGCTGTCTTCAGGGGCCTTAGGGAGAAGCTTGGCCACAGATCCTACACAAGGCAAGGCATCATGTAAGAAAGCACTGTAACCTTTTCATGTCAAAGTATAAGAAGCGAACACTGCAAGGGTTCGAGAGGGGCCAGATTGACATGGCTTGCTTGAGTCACCAAGACGGACACCAGGTTGAACCACTGCGTGAAATTGGCCTGTCGCCTGAGTTGGGATTTCAGGTTTGCTGTTTTGGATAAGATTCAGATTCAGGACGGTGTAACGTAGGATTCCAAGATTCAGGTTGGTAGCTTCGGTGTATTTACAACTCTGCGACATGCCGCCTACATACTGTGTAATACTATTCCCTTATGGTCCCTCTTCTATGTAAACTTTACCGCACCCCGAAGCCATACTCGGTTCCATAAGTTCGAGGAGCATTTTAAGTAATATTCGATTCATTTAGTGCAAGGGACTAGATTTGTCGGCCATTGGAGTTCTGCAGTTCAAACCCCTATATGTGAAAATACGTCAGATGCATATACGTCGTACATGTGCAAACAGGGTTGGACCCCTGGGCGGAATCCAAGGCCCTGCACGAGCTTGTGAAAGCAAGAAAGTTGCCTTTGGGTATAGTTATGTTTTTGCGAGGGTCCTTCTTCTTGCACGTTTGGTCCGAAGCTTTCTGGAACCCGCAGATGCTTCACTTGCTCTTACGGAGACCCGGCTGCCGGGGCCTAAGTATGAGTATACATGCAGTATACCCATTACAAGTGAGGAAAGCTTGAGCTTGCTCCGAGAAGTCAATCCCACTTTGACCCCGGCAGAGCCATGCGCTAGCGCAGTGTAGCGTACCGCTTCGCGTG